TATTGCTGACATATGCAAATTAGGCAAATGCATTAATTAAGCATGCAAATAGCTGATTTTTAGGAAAAATGTAACTTTGCGTGAATAGTTAAGGGGCTTAAACTAAACCAAATTGTCTGAAATTTTGTACAGTAATTAAAAACTCGACAAATTTTCCATCTATTAACTCAAAATATGATTCCAGCTTTTAAATTTTGTGCGCGAGCCATTTTTAGTTTGTTGGAAAAGACACACCCCCCTGGTTCACAAAATTTGAGTTCGAGAAATTTTTCTCATAATTCTACATTATAAGTACCCAAAGAGGCTATATATATAAAAAACCGGATACAAATAGCTGGTTTGCGAAATTGAGAGCAATTTTAAATCTGTTCAGTTTTTTTTTATACACCCTGTATATAAATTGATCATAAGCATTACGGGCGTTCAATTTAATAAGTGCCGATAATATTTAGGCGGTATATTCATTATACAGAGCTAGGAAGGAGCTAGACCGCCTAGACAGTGCAGTTAAGTGTATAAACATTTCAGACGTAAATATTGAGTCGAAAATCTTGCTTCTAGGCATTCAATTGAGTGCCGATATTATTTTTTCACGGCATACTCATTATACAGAGGTACAGTACGTGCAGGCAGAAGCGAGACAGTGTTGTTTTCAAGTATATAAACATTTCAGACATGAATATTGAGAAAATCTTTGCGATTGTACGCAATAATAGTAACACAATATATAAATTGATGTTATGCATTACCGTCGATATTATTTAGACCGTGTATTGATTATACATTCTCATTGACTGTATAAGGTGCTACATCACAGAATAGATGGCTATAGTACCGCTATACTCAGTACAAAGAGCGAAAAATTGCATCAGATTTGTATCAGATCAATAAAGCATAAACAAATATTAATAAACAGAAGCGGGTAAACGTTTGTACGGCGTTTACGAAGAAAAAAACTTACGAGACTAAAGGAATCAGTTGAGTCAGAGCTCCTTGTATAAATAAGAAAGACGAGGAGATAGCCAACGTGTTTAGGTGTTATCGCTAACGTGTTATCGCTAATGGCTTAATTGGCTCGCCAACAAGCTTTATGCAAAAGAAGAAAAAAGCAAGGAGGTACATGTAGCCAACGTGTACCACAGAATAAAGATCAGTAACAGAAGGGCCACTCAGCGGTGCAACGTGTCCGCATTTTTTTATGCAAAAATATGCAGTTTACTGGCCAGAAGGCGGAGCAGCCAGCCAGTACAGCGTGTTTATTGGCCAGAAAATGTCATTGACTGGCTAGGAAAATGGCGGCCAACATGCGTAATGCGACATGCGCGAGGACAGAAACTTCAAAGCTTCCGACGTAAGTGGCCCTTCTATATGGATCTTTATTCTATGACGTGTACATTCACGGACCGTGTCTTTGTTTACTGTCTAGTGTCTAGCACAACGCCGTTGTCAACGGTGCAAACTCGTATTCAGTGCAACGATAACTCTACCAGATCTTACGAGAATCAATCTGTAGTATTCTGTACACAG